TCACTCCCCGGGGAACTACTTCGAGGGTGATGGATGAATTTAATACCTGAGATAAGTGTACGGGTTTTTATAGGCGCAGTCTAGAAACTTTCCGATCGCACCTCGTATTCTTACGTAGACACTGATATTGAATGAGTCGGACAGTGATCTAGTTCTTGCGTTATGTCCAGTGCTGTCATGGCGTCGATGTGACCTCAGTAATGTAACACGTTAATTAAGTCCGCCAGTTATGCGTTAATCGTGACTTAATTTTGTCTAAGTTCCATTGGTTTTCTTCGAAGTGAAGTGCCTCTGGCGGTACAGGAAAATATTATTGTACTGCGTATTATCCTGGCTTCTGATAGCTATTTTTGAATTTCTGGCGTTTATATTTATAAACGAGGAAATTACAGAAACCCGGCAATGATGCATGTAATTAAGTAATAATAATGTTTCGACAACAAAATGTAGGACAGAAACATGAATATGCCTAAACATAGATTATAACTAATAAAATTATAGAAAACGTGTCAAAGTTAAAATAATTTGGACTGACAGTTACACACACGAAGAAGTTAAGAGGAGATTATATTTGGGGAATATTTATTAACTTTGAGTTCAAAATATTTTGTCACTGCGTAATGGGTTGTTGCGCCGTGTAGTCTGGTTTATCGACGTTTAAGAAGTGCTTGCTGTAGCTTGAGGCAGTATGACCTCTGAAACGTCGGTAAAATTCTACCAGACTACACGGCGCAACAACCCAGAGGACAGAACTCTTCATAGCGTAGATAACTTAGAAAGAATCGCCCTGATGACGGAGGCAGTATGACCTCCGAAACGTCGGTAAACTTCTACCAGACTACACGGCGCAACAACCCAGAAGACAAGCAACTTCATACTCGACGCCGTGAGAACCTGAAATGTCACCTGTAACGGACAAGTATTTCAGCGACTTATAAAACCGCAACCTTGCCGAGTCCTGGTGAACTGATACACATCAATACCCAGAGACTCTACATTGCAACGTGTTGAGAACAATTAGCATTAATCATCATTTATCATTATGGCTGTCAGCGTTGATCAACATTAAATCTATTTGTAACAAGGTTAAACAAGTAGTCGCAGTATTTTCACGACAAATTCGTTGTCGCAAGGCGTGGTTTCCTGGCGCCACAATTCTGCCAGCCTTGAAATGAAACGAATCACAAGGCGCGGGTTTTCAATAAATCGTTACCGTGATATTATTTAATGGGATATCTCGCTTTCCATGGCTTCACTCGTCTTCCTGTTAGATTTATATCTGTTTATCTAAGGCAGCTAACTCCGTGGTACAGTGTCTGGATGATCAGCTGTTCAAGGAGTACTGAAAGGTTTATTACCACCATCACAGAGCCCCACCGTCCTCAGCTATTTCAAAATAATTCTTTTTTTCCCACGGTGGTCTAGCGGTTAGAACGCTGGCCTTGTAATCCTGGGGGCTCGGGTTCGATTCCCGGCGGTGCCCGAATTTATAACTTGTGTTGGGCAAGGCCGTGGTCTAGGCAACACGGAGTTTTCCTCCGGGGGCTTCCCCGGTTTCTCCGTGGCATCCCAACAATTACTCCATTCACACACAGAAGAAGGCAATGGCAAACCACTTCTGGATCATCTGCCAAGAACGTATATGAACAGGTCCCAGTCCGAGAAAAGGATGGAAGGATCCT